GAGAGAGCATCACATGACCCCAGATGAAGCCATAGGAACTGTGTCCCATTTTCCCCTAGATGGCACTGTTTCACTTCAAGCAATGAAGCATTTAAACAAGACCAAGTTAAGACAAGGACATCCACAGCACATTTAACCTATGTTTAAACACTTCACGGTAGTAGGACGTAGATACAGGTTCAAGTGAAACAGAAAATGTATTTAAAACTAGCTTTGATTTTAGCATCAGGATTTTATTGAATCATGAATTGCTAAGATATCATTGGTTGATACAGTAATTCAGGAGCAAGTTATTCCGACTGAATGGATAAGCTGTGTTTTTCAGACCGTGACGCCGTCAGGGTTTAGGGTCGGTATGAAGCTGGAGGCCATCGATAAGAAGAATCCCTCGTTCATCTGTGTCGCCACGATTACAGACATGGTGGAGAGTCGATTCCTGGTGCACTTTGACAACTGGGATGAAAGTTATGACTACTGGTAAATTCCCATCTTTGAATTCATGTCTTTATGCTATGCTCCTGCTGCGACTTTCCCTGAAAGAGAACAACTGTATTTATCTATGGACAGGACATCATTTTACAAAGACTTTCTATACGTTTTTTTTATTTTTTATCAATACATGCAGTAACTTTGTTAAGCCAAATGCACCAAAACTTGTAAGAAAGTGTTAAGTATGAAAAGTGATTTTTACTCACTAATTCTAAAGCACAACATTATTTCAACCCTGATGGTTTGATGGTCATATCATTGAAATTCTGTTAATATCACTCAGTTTTATTCTTAATTTCACCACATTATCACTACACATTTATAAATATTATTATTATTATAATTATTATAAAATAATTATTTACAATTATATTTCTTACTTGTCTTTAAAAAACTAATCACTAATATAAAGTTCACTTTTGAACTAATATAAGGGTGAACATATACATATACATATTCATGAATAATACAATACTGAAAAAGTATAGAGGAACTCACATCTGTGAACAACATGAAATCATATATTTTTTTAAAGTTATAATTATGGGCTTTTTATGCCTTTATTGTGAGAGGATAGTCGGCGCCGACATGAAATCAATATTTTAATTTGAATCAATGCATCATTTTTTTGTTCTATTTAACTCCTGCAAACATACAAATTGGCTGAAATGCTGATGAAATTGATGAAACTGAACAGGCTTAAATCTATCAAATGACTAAGTTGAGTATCTTGTTCATTATATCAGTCGTAAGTCACGGAGGACACAAATAGGGCAGGTTCTCGTTCTTACGAGTGACCCAGTTATCATTCTGTGCTGAGTGTGTGTCTTTGTATATGTGTGTGTGTAGAGCAGGCAGAATGCTTTTAACTGCTCATCAATTACTCAGGAGGAGGAGGATAGAGGCACACACTCTGTGTCTTCAGCTCAGATCACACAATCACATCTGACAGCTCTGTGCACTGAGCCCAAGAAGAGCACATCTTGTCCAGCCGTTATGGTCTGAGTGTGCATCTCATCCCCACATTTGTTTCACTTTATTCCAACAAATCATTTCAGGAGATCAGGAGAACTGGTGCCTGTTTCGGCACATAATTCTGTTTTAGCCATCATCTTACCATCAGAAACCGCATCAGATGTTGCTGGTCACGAGCAATCTGGGGTTGGTCAGCTTGATTCTAGAACTGCTGGAAGGGATTGTTAGATCCAGACTAGTTTTGCTTCAGGACCGAGTAGAGACCCAGCACAGCACTTCAGATATCGATGCTCCGGAAAAAAACTCAGAATGTCCTTAAAATCCAATATTGAAATGTATTAGCATTATCTGCCAGAACAGAACAAAATAGAACATTTTTGAGCATTTGGTTGAATTTTGATGCTTTTGGAAGACATTAAACCACAGGAAATGAAGTAGTTATGATGCCTACAATTAATGACGAGATACATTTTGCTTCTGTTTTAAAAGTAGAATGGGTTTTTGTTGCTATCTTAACTGCACATAATTATTTGGTTATGATTTATCAGAATGGTTTTCCCATCTGTCTGTGACAGTCAAAAAAGATGCGTGCACCATATTTTTTTAAGTTGTGACCCACTAGTGCAGATGAAATGCAAAACTGTGTTAATTTGTGTATTTCATTGTATTTTAATGCATGCATTGTCTGTCCTAAACAAAGTAAGAATTTATTAAAAAAAATTTATGGGGAAAAATGGATTCAGGATTTTTTAAACAGTGCATGAAATGCATTAAAATGCATGTGTGTGTTTCTTCTTTTCTGCAGGTGTGATGCAACAAGTCTTTATATCCATCCGGTTGGCTGGTGTCAAGAGAACGGCAGGACCCTCACCACCCCTCCAGGTGAGGCAACATTTGTTTTAAATGTACACTATTTCCCCCAAAAAACTGATTTAAAAAACACTGCAATAACCTGCTTTAAAAGTTGCCTTTTCCAGTGTTAGAAAGAGAGCTTGATGAAGGAAGGAGAAAAGTTAAGGTCTGCCTGTTGTATTTTTTAAGCTCATTAATTGCGGGTCTCTGATAGCATGCAAGACGACGTTAGGTTGTTGTGCTGGTTTAGATCTTAGCATGTGAAAGCCATTCCAGCTGAAATACAGACCAGTGTCTTCAGAGGGACTTCTGTATGAGGACGTGGACTAGAGGACGACGTGTGTTTATTCTGACCTGACTTCAGACTTCTGCTGGGGATTCAGGAAAGACATATTGTATATAGTTCTTTATTATACCTATAGTTCTCTGCAAGTCAATTGTTGAGTCAGGGTTAATTCACCCTTCCACAAATTAAGGCCTTAACCGGTCTTAAATTGTAGCAGAAAGTCTTAAATTCATAGATTAATGCATTAAATAAAGATATGAAGTCTTGTTTTTTGAGAATTGAGTGAATTTATGCTTTAAACAAGAACAATTATTTGCCAGTGGGCAATAAAAACTTGTTTTCACTTTGAATTAACTTGATTTTGTTAAGCCCACTGGCAAATATTTTTTTTAAATCACCTCATTAATTCACTTCACTTTCAGCTGTTGTGTGTGTGTGTGTAAAATGGATTAAAAAGGAATGTAGATTGGTTGCAAGTTGTATTTTTAAGCTTTGAAGTCTTGCTAAAAATCATTGTGCGCTGCTTGTGTTTCCTTTCATTTATTCCTTCAATTTTCTGTAATTGTTCTTAAAAGGGGCTTTAAAATGTCTTAAACTTACATTCATAAAACGTGCATAAACCCTGTTGTATTTAACATTATTTCTGATTTTATTATGTAATTCCTAATGTTTCATGGGAAGGTACAAGTAGTTAATTCTCTCGTAAAAGATGTCCCTTTCTTTCTTTCTTTCTTTAGATGTTTCATGTTGTCTCTCTATCACCTTAGGTCCACCCAAAATGATCTTATAATACAGCATAAAAACCAGTGAGCTCTGGGAAATATCATGTTTTCATCCGTCCCTCAAACCTCACTCTCCATGTGCTGTAGGATACCCTGATGTGAAGAACTTCTCCTGGGAGAAATACTTGGCAGAGACCAGCTCATTACCAGCTCCTGCTCGAGCCTTCAAAGTGGTGAGTGCATGTGCTTCTTGCCAAGCATCTGCAGCCCCTGTGAGAGACCCGAGGCGCTGAAGACATCTGCCCCTCTCTCTCTCTCTGCAGAAACCTCCTCACAGTTTCCAGCTCAATATGAAGTTAGAGGTGGTCGACAAGAGGAATCCTGCTCTGATCCGAGTGGCCACAGTGGTTCATACGGATGACCATCGACTGCGGGTGAGAAACTATATTTTGCACACATTATGCTGGCTCAGTGTGAATTTCCATGTTGGTCTAGAGGGGTCAGCTGGTTGACCTTGTTTTACATTTTAAAGCCTCACAAATGAAATAAAAGTCTGACAAATCTCATGTTTTGAAATAGAACAGTTTATTGAACATGTAGACAAAATATAAAGAAAAAGTGTGCTTTGTGTTGGTATATCTAGGGTGACCACTTGGTTATTGCTCTTTCAGAATAATGATTTTGCGGGACAATGCAGGGCATGTGTGAGAGAGATAAAGTTATTAGACTATAGAAATAATGATGATGATTGGAAGATAATTAAGGGATAATGCACGGCAATTTTTTTAACAAATTTAATGCACAATGTGGAGGCAAAGAACCACCTGATGCGAAGCGGAGCACATTCAAATTGTTTAATACACAGCTAGTCGTGCATTATCCCACTTATACCATGGTGATTTGCCAGTATTGACGAGTTAAATCTGTTAATGATGTTTGCAGTGCAATATTTGATTGGAAGTGTAAAAATGACGTTTTTTTTTTTTTTTGCCAATTATGGCTCGTTAGCTCTAGCATTCTGCCCACTTCAAATCAGACACAGAGATGAAATAGTGCGGTAAGATCACATTTATTTGAATAAATTAATTATAACATTGATTTGAATCAATTATCGAAAGAGAGAGAGAGAGAGAGGCATGCAAGTTGTGTGTGTGAATTACCTGCGTCTGTTCATCTTTCTCTCTACAAACAGTGAAGCTGTGAGTTTAATTACTTCAAAAACAGCGATTTTACCTCCTCGTTGTTGAGAAATATAACATAGTGGTTCAGTATTAAAACTATTTTATTAACAAAAGTGGCTGGGCAGTGTTAACAACACGTTTCTGTGCTCTTGAATGTTTCTCTGTGTACGAGTGATATGTGTGTGTGTGCGCATCAATGAAAGCAGCTCATTAATATAGAACGGTGATTAAACTGACTTAGATCTACCTGTGCATCATGGTTTTAATGCACACCTTTCAGCCATCAGAATCGAGTATTCAGACAGACCATGGTGTAACGTTTTAAACTGTCTATAAGCTCTGTTACTGGCACTCAATTTGCCCAGGTTCAAGTGATAGACTACTATGTAACTTACTCTACAGGATCTATTCAGTCTACTAAATATAATGAACTGAATAGCAGGCTAGTAGGTAAAATCTCATTTTATAAGTAATGACTAGTTTATGTTCCTTCATTAGACTATGCAAACATCAAATGTGTTTTACCGGATTCAGTGCGTCTTGAACTTGTATTTTTTTGTTGGATCTGCCAGCTTCGATCAGGATGTTCTTATCCAATACGTGTCTAGATGAAGTCCTGACTGCTGTAGCTGCGTTTAAAGACTTTTGATGAGGTCCAAACTGGTTTCTTTGCTCCGTCCAGTCATCATCAGTGGAAAAAAATCCTCTCTATGTATGCGTTGGTTGGTTATTTTCCCGGTCTAGCGAGGACAAATGGATTTTTTAATGGCAATCACATTTTTATTATTGTATTTCTTATTGTCGTAGTGTAATTTCAAGAAAGAAAAAAAAAACATAATCCGGAATGCGGGAGTCTGCTTACATTTTGCAGGATGCGAGACAAAGATCCCAATTTTGGGACCATCCTGCATTTGTACATCAGGCTTTTATGGCTCATATAGTATGGTATGGTGATAATATGGAGCTCCTTTCAAAACACTTTTTGATTTTATTTAGCTTTTTACAGATTGTGTCCTACATAGGGACTGAATATGATCTGCGTCTTGCTCACGTATCCATGAAATCCACTCTGGATCAAAGCATTTCATCACTGATTTCTTGCTCATTGTGTTGTGCAGTTTCCCAAGCATAATTGCTCTAATTGTCAGTGAAGATGCAGTGATGCAGTGCTGATTCAGCTGACGGTGATCCCATGACAGCATCTGATCTCTCAGCCGTCTGTTTGGGAGTTTAGAAGCGATCAGGATGAGTCATCTGTGCTTTTCCCTTCGTGTGGGCTGGAGGGAAGCTCTGCTCCATATAGAAATCTTCTTTTGAACATGGTCTGTCAGTCCTCCGGCTGATAAAGGCTGATAAACGTCTGCTCTTCACACACATGAATGCAATCAAATCTTGCATTGTCTCGCGTGTTTGTGCCAGAGCCGTTCTAATGCAGATTCTTGCAGTTGCAAGTTTTCAGTCGTCACTTCTTTGCTTGAACATTTCAGTTCAACAAATCACGATTCATACCAACATTGCTTTGGATTCGAAGTACTGAAAAACGGCATAAGTGCTGATGAGCATTTCCTGGAAAACAACACTGATAAGTCAGATTTGATTGCATTCAGAAATAATTTCAAATGCTGGTAAATAAAACTTTTACAAAACACTGTAGGCAGGTATTTAGTTCCCCTCACTCCACAACAAATCCTTCAGAATTACTGGCATTCAGAGCAGAACAGGAATGGAAAATAGAAGAATAAAACAAACAAATTATAGCAGCATTCAATATAAACAATATTTATTATAAACCCCAAGCCTAAAAAATTTATTTAAAGTGAAAGTGAAACTACTGCTCTACAACTACATGTTACTGTACCTCTCTCAAATCCAAATGTCTGCACTTTGTGCATATTTTGCATGCTAGATGTTAATTCCGAAACGATCAGAGCAAGACACAGTTTATACTAGAGATTGACAAGGTCATGCATTCACAGCTGTTCACACTGAGTGAGCAACAAAACAACTTGTAGACATTAATTTATATTGAGAGTCGGTTGTTTGAGGCAACAGTAACGATTGTTGGCAATGCATCAAAGTTGAGTCGTGACTGATATGCAGTTGATTAGAAACACCTTATATCAACCAACAGGCCTCATTCCCAGGTGTTGCACGAAGCAAAGTGAAAGAGGATTTCAGTCCGGTCTCGCCATTTTTGAATGCAGTGTGCAACAGGTGGTTAATGGTCCGCGTAACCGTCTGGCTGTAATTGCACATGTGGGATCCAAGATGGCAGCAGAATCCACACACATCATTCACACGGACCGAGAGAATTAACAGATGTCACTGTCTGTCTCACACTCAAGCGGAGAGCTGTCAGATCTGCCTCCTCTCCCGCTCACGCTGTCTGTCTGCTCAGCCGGCATTCGTGATCCTCCACAGAGAGAGCGAGCAGAGGTCCTTCAGTCTCTCTCTTAAACACCCAATCAATACTCTGTTTACACGTGTCGGTCTTGTTCATGTGTCCGAGCCGTATAGTGCACGACCTCCACCTCCAGTGCTGCTCTCTCTCATCACCTCATCATTCACCGGAGCTCAGTGCCATGCACCGGATGGATTTGTCGGATTCCCACTGCGTTTTAAAATCCCCCATCAATATTTCCTGAAGCAGCTGTAATTGACTTGGAGGAAAAAGACCTTTACGTCCAGGTCTTTGATGGTTCTCTGCAACGCCCTCGACTATCCCACAGGACAGAGACAAAAGGGTTTGATTTATTTGGCATGTCTGGATCAAACCTGTTTACAGGGTGTCTGTGGAGTAGTTTATATGATAGTATTTTAAGAAGTCTTAAATCCATGGCTTTTTAAAAATTAGAAGTTGTTAAAAAAACTTGAATTGCGTAGAATTGTTTTCAATTTGTTGTTTGTTTACAATTTGTTGAATTGTATTCACACTGGTGTTTTGCCCTCAGCATTTAGACAGGCTCGTATAACCCCACTACTTAAGAAACTCACCCTTAACCCTTCTCTTTTAGAGAACTACAGACCCCAGATCCCTTCTTCCATTCAGTGCAAAAAAATCAATCCGAGCAGCTGAGTCCTTAGCCATCTTCAGGAATCAGCTAAAAACACATCTCTTCCATCTTTATTTGACCCCCTAACTCTAGCACTCTCTATTCTAATTCTATTCTTTAAAAAAATAACTTTTCCCTTTAAACTTGCACTCTATTCATTTACTGCTTTTCTTTAAAAAAACACTAACTTTTCTAATCTTTTTGTATTCTATCTGTTTTATTTTTATTTATTATACATTAATTAATTAACAAAAGCAAAAAGGCCTCTAACACTAGCTTGCTCTATCCTTTTTCTATTCTATCTGTTTTCTTTTTATTTATTATATAATAAAAAAAAAAACACTTGCTACATGTACTGCATTAAGCTAACTGAGACTTGTTACACACTTAAATGTAAATGTAGAACAAAGCCTAATCATTTTTTTTGGAAAGTCTTAATTTTAAAAAATAAAGCAGAATCAGTAGATCTTCAGCAAAAAAATGTAAAACAAAAAAACAAAAAACTGTAGTGTGATTTAAAGCTAATATCGTTAACTAAAACTTAAACAATTAATAAAATAATAATAAATTAAAAATTAAAATAAAAAAATATATATTTCAGTTAGTTGACAAGGCAGCATTTCTCATTTTTGTTTAAAATTAAGTACTAAAATAATTACAACTGAAAACTAAAACTTAAAAACTTTATGAAGACCTATATAGACCTGGGAAAAAAATGAAAACAAAACATGACTAAAACTTGAAAAGTAAATATGATAATAAACAAAGAAAATATAGTAAAATCTAATTTAAAAGTTTAACAAAAAACTATAATAATATATCAATTGTTAGAGCCATCAATGAATTAAAGCAATTAAGAAGTTTGTAATATGTTTCTTAATATTAAGAGTGATTTTGTTTTTGATATATGCATTTTTTTATGTTATTTATATTGTTTCACGTGACTCTGGTTAGTTTTATACATGCAATACATGCGTAACAATTTGAAGGAAGAAGAAGGGTTTTGTGCTAGCCAGTCGTTTGACCGAGGGAAAAGCTAAAATTCAGGTTTTTGGAACTTAAGTGTAAAATAGTTCAATTTCTTTTATAATGTAACTTGACAAAGAAAACGTAAACTTTTACACTACAAGTTATGGATTCCCGTGTCAAATCCTTTGTGCAATAGCTTTGTGGAAATAGTGAAGAATGGAAAAAGAATCGGTATCATTACATCAGTGATACTAAAATTACACTGGTTGTGAACAAAGCAAAAGGAAAACGAGATAGAGAGATCGCTAAATGGATGTAGTCATGGGTGGAAGCATGCAAACTGGAAGGAGATTGAAAGAGAGTAAGACTGATGAGAAGAATGCAAATGAAACATTTCTTTATCTCAAACTGTCACGCAGTGAATCACAAAAGCCAGTCTGGTCTGGATGGGCGGCACAAAGCCAGTCCACTCAGCCTCCACATAATGACTGTCAGCTGTGCTGTGAACACCACTAAAAACACTGCTCGCCTTTTTAGTCCGTCCCTGTTCCTGCAGTCCGGCTGATTTCCCAGGAACCCGTTTTATCGAAGTCCTGGAGACAGGCTGTCATTTAAGGGCCGTTGCTCTTTTCTTCTCATTGTTGTGATTGCAGCAGCTCTTTTCAAAGAGTTCTGAGAGTCTCAAACACAATATGACCGAATCACCCTGCCAGCCGTCTGATCGCTGCCAACGTTTCTTTAAGATTCCTGTTAAAACGTTAATGTCTCTAGAGATGCGCATTGCAATATGAAGATAATCTTCTCGAGGGACCTTGAAATGCTAGTAGCCAAGCTGTTCCTGCTTTCATCTGAAGTGCCGCGGGGTGTTTTGTACCTTATGTAAGAATAAAATCTCTATTTATCACCACACAACCAGCTCCTCTGGGATTTGTTGTGACGTTCACACAGTGTCACCAGAGAAAGACACTATGACCCTGCAGGAACAATTTCTCCTGGCCTTAGGTGTCTCGATTAAGGGCAGTCTACCTAGAGCAATGGGTTAAGACATGCTTTTTTGGGCTTTAAGTAATGACACAAATACCAGTATATTTACTACCACAGACCTTAGTAAATCACATTGCATTCATTTAAATCAGGAGTGTCAAACATACGGCCCACAAAGGTATCCAATCCGGCCCATGGGATGATTTGAGCAATAATGTAAAATAATAAACAAAACATTATCTTGAAAATTAAATAAAAAGTGTATTCGCAACAATGTTTTATTTTTAACTTAAAGCAGAACAAATTGCTCATTTATTTGCATTGATGTTACGCCTCGGGACACAAGCACACAGCTCAATATGGATCAAGTGGCGCCAAAATCTCCAGCAGCACATAACTGATGATAGCTGTGTTGTAAGGATGCTTGTGTGGGAAGTATCTTGTGATTTTAAAGATGTCTAAAAGAAGAAATTTGACCTGGAATGGCAGATATTTAAGGAGAAATGGAAAGAAATGTATTTGTTCTGTGAGCTGAACCGGTATGTTTAATCACAACGCATGGCTGTAGGAAAGTGTACAATATTAAATGACACTGTGTGATGCACTAGACAGTTTAGGATGGAAAAGTAGGTAAGATAGGGGTGTGCGATATTTGTTGTCCACTATAATATCGTAATTATTGTTTTAATAATGTGCGAGCTGACATTATGCAACTCAGTTTGCAAAAAAAAAACAAGAAAAAACACATCTTGAGAGTCTTTCACTACAGGATAAAGGCTGTTAGAATGAAGTTATAATATAGTTTAATATATGGAGGCAAAAATGCAATGTAAGAGCTCTTGTTTTTATATTTGTATCACGGTATTTAAATAATATCACATGAGTAAGGGTGTTGTTTTCCTGAATATCAGCACGATCACAAGTGAATTGATTTTATGCAACAATTTTATGCAAACAAGCTGTTAGTATTACTGTAAGTGAGTTTTGGTTTAGTCACAGTGTTGTCTGTTTGCGCGGTTTCACCGGAGTAGAACATTTGTGCGTCTCCAGCAACAGTGTGTTTTGTTACTGAATGTTCCTGTGTTTTTGAACAAATCATTTGAGTCAGTGATTCATTGGCCCCATTCATAAAGACAACCGTCACTAGCTTCGTTTCTAAATGAATCAGCCGTTTTGAACAAATCTTTTGAATGAATGAGTCAATGAATCACTCGTTAAGATGTGGACTTGCAGACACCTACTATTGGTTTATTTTTATATTTACTTATACATTGCCGTCTTAACGCAAACAGTGTACTATCTCAAAAACACACTTGGGAAAATATGGTGTAATTATAAAAATATTGAGATTTTTATTTTCAATATTGCACACCTCTAAAATAACTGAGCATCATCTTTGAAGAAATGTTTTCCTAGTTTCCTTGTAAATTATATTGTAGTTTGTTTGGTTAGTATTAATGTAATTGTAACAAAATCAGGGCTTGAAATAAAAAAAAAATTCAATCAGTTCACTCCGAGCAGAATCGATATTTTAACGTTTCTGTTCCTCCGTTCCTCTGTATTATTACCATTCCGAAACCGGTTCGAGTAGAAGAAATACCGGTTAATAACGTTAATTTTTAAAAAACGATTTTCTTTGTCTATAATAATAATAATAAAGTACAGTGTTTTCTTGATCCTAATGATCTTAATCCGCTGCACATAGTCACAGCCAATACAGCATCATCTTTTCTAGATTTTCGCCAAATGTAGGCTACTAAACAAAAGAAAAAATCTATTAACACTTTAAAGACATTAAAGTATTTTTTAAGATATTTAAAAATGTTTGCTGCATTGTTAAAAAAACGCTACTTGTATAAGATTGCGTTTTGAGAGTGAAAAAAGTCTAAGGTCACGTCGCATTTTATTAGCCCTATTACATTCAGAAATAATGTAGGCTTAAATGCCGGTAGGCTTAAGCAAAATGTTTACAAACATTATAAACACAGTTAGTTTCTCTCCACAACAAATCCTCTAAAGTTAAGGCTATGCGTTTAGGCTATAAAAACGTCAATCCAAAAACGAATTAATTTAAGGTGAAACTGATGCCTACCTCTCTCATTTGGCACGAATCCAAATGTTTACATATTCGCGACGTATCTACATGCTAAAATATGATTTATTATAGGCTATAGGCTTTGTACTTTCATCGATGTAAAACATCATCCTTCACATCGGCTATATCAGCACAGTGAGGCGCTGGTCATGCTGAACGCAACAGATTGAACAACGGAGCAGTGTAACTTTTTATTTGTTTCTCAATCCAAAAACGAATTAATTTAAGGTGAAACTGATGCCTACCTCTCTCATTTGGCACGAATCCAAATGTTTACATATTCGCGACGTATCTACATGCTAAAATATGATTTATTATAGGCTATAGGCTTTGTACTTTCATCGATGTAAAACATCATCCTTCACATCGGCTATATCAGCACAGTGAGGCGCTGGTCATGCTGAACGCAACAGATTGAACAACGGAGCAGTGTAACTTTTTATTTGTTTCTTTAACTGTATTTTATTTTGATAATGAACAGGCTGCAATGTCGCAATGTTGTGTGTGTGCGTGAGGCGCCGCCGCGATGGTCATACCAACGCTGGTTGGTTATACAGATATAAGCAAAACATCATTCAAAACTGTCAAGCTTTTGCAAAATAACAAATAGTGCACAAGTGCATAGTGTATAGTGCATCATTTGGGACGCAGCTTTATTGTTTTTTAGCATTGTAAAAGAGAGATCTGCATTGCTCCCTTTTAGATCCATTTTGATGGCTGGACAGAAGAATATGATTTCTGGATCGATGCAGACAGCCCAGATATTCATCCTGCCGGGTGGTGCGCCAAAACCGGACATCCACTGCAGCCGCCCATCAGTGAGTACAGACAGATTTCACACAAACTTCAGCTAAGAGACACGCTCGTGATGGAACGGCTGTTGCAAATGTCACGCAGCAAGACTTGAGGCCTTCGAAGACACTCGGCTTTGATTTTAAGGCAGCATCACATGTATTCTTACGGATAAGATGGGCAATGCACAAAGAAAGTATATTTTATTCAGTACTGCAAATATCAAAGAAATATTTGCATCTACTTAAAATGGACAATTTGTTTTATATACCTATCAATATTGTGCAACATGCTAACATCTGACGCTATTGGAATTCATTGTTCCTCTCATTCACTTTGTGTGACACATGGAGATGATCCTATTTAATATGTTCCAAACAAAACAAGAAACTGACTAAGATTAGATTGTTTTGTGTAATGTGTATAACGCAGAGCAAATGTGTTTTACACAGATGTTTTTGCACTAGGGTTTTTTGTTTTGAGAGAGAGAGACTGTACTGACAATGTTGAGTTAATGACCACTCAAACTGCGTTCTCTATCATCTGTAAATAGACTGCCTCAGACTCTCGAAATGACAGCCATTTTCCTCTTCATTTCATGGAAAATTGTAGCCGGTAGAGAGAGAAGGAATGATGTGGGTATAAAAGAGGGATGGAGCGTCTAATAGTCCTCTCTTCCTCTCATGTCAATATCTTCTATTAGCTCCAGAGGATGCTGGGAAAATGCTGTTGAACAATGAGCTTTTCTCCAGTCAGTCTTGCTATTAATCTTCTTCTCGTTCTCGTTCCCTTCCTCTGTGTCCATGGAAACAGATCGGAGCAATGTTTAGAAATCAGCAACTGGCATCAGGATGTGACCGACTTACTGAGAGAGAGAGAGAGAGAGAAACAAAACGAGTGTGAGAAAAGAGAGAGAAACCAGGGAAAGAGAATATATCCATCAGAGTCTATATGTGATCCTGGAGCACAAAAGCAGTCTTAAGTCGCTGGGGTATATTTGTAGCAATAGCCAACAATACATTGTGGCTGTCCACCAACGTTTACCATCCAACCTGATAGAACTGGAGAGGATCTGCAAGGAGGAATGGCAGAGGATTCCCAAATCCAGGTGTGAAAAACTTGTTGGATCTTTCCCAAAAAGACTCATGGCTGTATTAGATCAAAAGGGTGCTTCTACTAAATACTGAGCATTTTTCAGTTTTTCTTTTTTAATAAATCTGCAAAGATGTCAACAATTCTGTGTTTTTCTGTCAATATGGGGTGCTGTGTGTACATTAATGAGGGAAAAAAATTAACTTAAATGATTTTAGCAAATGGCTGCAATATAACAAAGAGTGAAAAATTTAAGGGGGTCTGAATACTTTCCGTACCCACTGTATATACTCTGAGTCTTATATATTTTCTATATATGAATCTATACCTGAGTCTATATACACTCTCGATATAAATCTATTAATAACTTTTAATTACTCTGTCTTGGTTGTCTCTTTGGTAAACAAGTACACTAACTTCTGATTAAATCTTATTTAAATTTTTCATGATTGCAGAAATGACTCCACAACTGAGACACAACCATAATAATTTGTATAAAAATGGATATGAATCATTTCACAAAATAAATATTGTAAAGGTTTGTATTTTGATCTTTGTTTGGATTGTTATTGTTTTTATAATGGATTTTCATATTTTACTTGAAGATTGAAAGTGTTTGTCAACACATGGAGAGTTCAGATGCAAAAGCCTCTATGTACCGTTTTAGAAGAAAATTTCAGACGGCACATAGAGGCTTTTGCATCTGAACTCTTCAAATGTAAAAAAAAAACAAATGTTATGTGACTTTCATGTAACAAAAAGAACACATTTTAAATCTGTTAATTTGAAGACAGATCAACCCTTGGGACATAAAAGTGTCGAAAGCTGAAAAAAACACCCATATCTGTATATTACATTTGATTTTGTTACATTTTGTCTCGGTGAGGCTCATGTGTGTACTGTGTAATCACTTATCACAAACTCCATGTGTAAGCTGATATTGTGGTTTCCCGAGTGAGGATGATGTGATGTGTTTCTGTGTGTTTTCTTCACAGCTCCTCAGGACATGTTTGAGACGTCTGAGCAGGGCAGCTGTCCCACGCCAGGCTGTAAGGGAGTGGGTCACATCAAAGGAGCCCGCTACTCTGGACACCACAGGTCAGTGTGAATCTGTGTGTATGTTTATTTGTTTGACATCAGAGTTTGGTTAATCTCGATAATTTGAACACTGAGGGTGCCTAAAAAGAGGGCAGCGGACCACTGCTTCATGATACAGTTCATGCAAACCCCAGTATAGTTTGTTTCTGATGTGAACTTAATCGTACTAAATTAACCCCTATTGCTGAAGTATGAATTGGTCAAACTGTGCATTTCTCAACTCACTTTCAGTTTAGATCTCATTTCCCGTTGCCTTCAGCAGAAATTGACATACTGCATTAAATTTGTACATGTGCCATTCTCTGTTGCACTTCGGAAACAAAAACAAAAGCGAGGCAAGAAAGCTACAGTATCCATGCATTTCTCCGTCTTCTGCATAGTCGGTACCAAGCAACAGAGATAAAAAGCTGTTTATCAAATATGGCAAACGTAAGCTCAAATGTGCTTGTGTGACATTGGTTCTCGTGTGTCAAATAAGCATGTGATGCTAATAGGCTGACTCTGCATGGTCTGTGTGTCTGTGTGAATGAATGGCGCGGTTTCATCTGATACACAAACTCAGCCACACGTGATGCTCACTGTGTTTTTCAGCGTCTGCATCTCAATATATGAGAGATGAACACACATGAACTTCATCTACAGAGCTGCTCTGAGAGTCACAAGCTTTTTACAATTTACTTTGAGAAAACTAAGACACACTGAAACTGAAAGATCTTCAGGGCAGCCTGTCTAAAAGTCTGGTTTAACTTGAACAAATTATGACAGAAATGTATTATGATTGTATGCTAAAATGTAATTCTCAAATAATAATAATGATAATTCTTATTGTTATTTTAAATATATTAAATATAAGTATTAATTGTTATACAGTACTGTTGTGCAGCATATTATTTGACAAAAAAATATTAATATAATTGGCCATATCGCCCGGCCTACCCTGAATATCATCTTCAGCATATCCTAGCTCAGTCTAACCTGACTAATGATCACTGGTCTTTCTGCTCGAACACTGCGGCTCAGATCAGCTCTCAGAGCAGCGATCAGCCTGAGGAAAGGTGTTGCATGTCTGTTCTCTGATGTTTCTATTTTTACAGTCAGTCTGAGAAAAATAACCCAGAGGGCAAGAAACCCATACTGATCAAAGCTCATATGGAAAATATCACTTTACAGAATCAAACATGCTTCATATTTGTGATAACTTCTAAGCGAGGGATTCCCAATCTGTTTTGCCAGCTGAACCCCTTAGACAATATATTTACTTTAATTTCCAACTTAAATTTTAAGTTATTATTTCAATGATTTAACAACACATGCACACGTGTCACTTAATGATCACGTCACATGCAAATAGATAAAATATTTAAAAGAAATAATAAATATAAAAATTATATATACTTTTATTTTGACTTTATAGATGTATTTTGTGTTATTAAATTACTGGTGTTTTAAGAACTCTATCGAATAATGATGAGTGTAATTTACAATAATAACAATAATAATAATAATAATAATAATACAATAAAACAACAGCACCAATAACAATTATTATTATTATTATTTTAAATATAAATTTAAGACAGAATGTATTTAAAAGAAATAATAAATATAAAAATTATATATACTTTTATTTTGACTTTATAGATGTATTTAAATTACTGAAATTACTGGTGTTTTAAGAACTCTATCGAATAATGATGAGTGTAATTTACAATAATAACAATAATAATAATAATAATAATACAATAAAACAACAGCACCAATAACAATTATTATTATTATTATTTTAACTATAAATTTAAGACAGAATGCATATTGCTGTAAATTACAATTGTATTGTAAAATAAAAAATGAAAATTGATAATTATAATAATAGTTTTCTAAACATTACACAACATTGTAACATTAGTTACAATACTAATATTGTCTTAAATTCTTTCTAAACATTTATACAGTCAAGCTTTTGTTTTGGCAGAATACTAATGAATTGCTGAAGCTATTAAAAAAAGTGTATGCATTGTTGCAAATTATGTGACTGTGAAAATAAAGTACATTCCCAAATGTTAAACTCACAGCACATGCAAAATGGATTTTTATTTTTTTGTAAATCAAGTTGATAAAAACACCAGATCATCACACAGTGCTGCGCTTCACTCTAAGACGAGGTGCAGAAGACTGTAAAGTTATTTGATTGAATCAGCTGTAATCGCGATTATCACACAGACCCATTTATTTTAATTTGACTCTTGATATAATTCATTATTAACTTTTCATCAGGAAACACTACCCATCTGAGCAATACTCAGAATAAATGATAGCTAGTACATGCATCATTTAATGCCAAGACTTTATGCATTTAAGACTTTCTGCTCCAATTTAAGACCTTTATAGGCCTTAATTTGTGAAAGTATGAATTAAGACTTTAAGACCCGTGACTAGATACAAAGCACAGCTACTGAACTGCAATGACAGATGAAATGTTTTTAAATTGATCAGTGTTTCCTGGTGTTTCAGTGCCGTGGGTTGCCCGTATTCTGACATCAACCTGAATAAGGACTCGGTTCTGCCGGATCGCTTGAGCGGAGAGATGCCGGGAAGCGGAGTGGGTCGGCCATGCAGAGCAGAACCAAGCGCAGAGATTTCAGCTGACGCTAATGAGTGAGTGTTCGTTTCTCTGATGGGTTCTGCTGAAATATTTAAAGAGCTCTAATGATGGAAAACCCCTTAAATAATAGTTGGATGTACAGTACTGGGTGTCACGCAACTCCCGCTCCAGCAAACCCAAACTGCAGAACTGACTGGGAAAGATTAATGATTATCACGCCACAACCATGACTGTGATGCTGAGAGCAATCTTTTCACACTGAGGGACGCATATGCAATTATTACAAAAGCTGCACACATTCATCGATGCTCAAGAAGGCAGTGCAATGCATGAAGACCTTGCAATGCATGAAGGGTGTAAACTTTTGAACTGGAAGATCCATGTGAATTGATTTTACTTTATGGCTTCTGAAGGACAGTAGTAACTAAAAAACAAACAAACAAACAAAAGATATTTCATATTTGTATAAATTCTGCAAGATGTTTATAAACTGGGAATACTATGCAAATTTATGGTACACTATGCAAATTTATGCACCTAACTGTATATGATCGCCCACATTAGCACATCTACATGTGTTCAGTGTTCAGTAACTTGCTGGAGACACGATTAAAGAGTAAAGAGTTTAGCCAATCATTACAGAGTTCATTTACATAGTTTTAAAGGTACAGTAGCAGAAACAAGCTGTTCCCTTTCAAGGGAACTTCGAACTGCGTCCTCTAGGGGTCGCTATGGGGAACGCCTCGTCGTGACCCGTGTCTGAAGCATACATTGAGAAAACACCAACAGTTTTCAATGTATGCTTCAGACACGGGTCACGACGAGGCGTTCCCCATAGCGACCCCTAGAGGACGCAGTGTCTCGTTCCCTACTCAGGGAACCATGGTTACATAAGTAACCTGAGACGTTTCATTATAACTCTACAGCAGACAAGAGTGGCATTTTGCGAAGCATTAAAACTAAATGACTGCCGTTATTATTAATGAAGCTGTCTTTACTCTCGAGCTGTGCCTTTAGTTGACAGGCACCCTGTTTAAATAATTTCTTAATTATTACCTCAGAGTCAGCTCATGATGTTTCTGGCCTAGTAATTTGAAAGATTGAATGTTGATAACCATGTCAGAGATGCAATCAGAGATTTCAGTCTGAGTGTCACTTAAAGGACTTTTAAAATCTGATCAGATTTGAAAACACCAGGTATCATACACTTGGTGACTTTGTAAATGGTAACAGAGAAAAAACTGGGCATCATGCACTAAATGACTGAATATCACACACTACCTGGTCTTGTGTTGCCAGATCTTTGACTGAGAGCATATGGTTTGGTCTCTATAGCTGCTTCAGCTGGCCAATACAGCCACATAGGTGAGACAAGGTCATCTGAATGGGATGCACAGCAACCAATAACAGTTTGTTTTGCTCATTGACATGTTTATACAATAACAGAGTGGTGTGCAACCATACTGTGCATCATTCATTCAAGGTCGGCTTGAAAGTTAAAGCAAGTTATGGTGCAACAATCTGCATTAGAAACACCTAAGAAAATAGTTGGTGATGTCTGTAAAGTTTGTTCTCAGAATCTTAATCTATCCAAAATTAATAGGCATTGAATATTTCAATGGTCTGCTATTCCAGCCAGTTATTCCTGATACATGTCTGTTTGGTGCATGTTTCTCCTCATTTTTTAGTGCTCAAAAGCAATTCAGGTGATCCGAATATATTACTAAACCTGTCAGTAGTGGTGTCAGTGTCTGTACATTTATATTTCTGTTATATTTTTGTTTCTCATATCTTGTAGGCAAACGTGCGAAAATACATTCAGCCAAGTGCATCAAACAAAACTCTATAAATTTCAAAATTTCTAATCTACACACACACACACACACATATATATATATATATATATATATATATA